CGCTCCTTTACTGTCGGATTTTTATCTCCCACCTTTTGTCTGAATATGAGGCTGCGGTAGCTCGTACTGCAGAACTGAAGAAAAAACTCGACTATTTTATTGCCCTTGCTCAGAAAGGGGGAGATTTTTCAGGGGGAGTTGGCAACGAATCCTCACATCAGGAGGTACCTCATACAGGGGGAGTTGCTCATACAGGGGGAGTTACTGCAGCTGCTGGAACTGCTGATCCACCTGGTGTTCCAACTGTTCCAACAGTTGATGATGCAACAGCTGAGGCTGATACGGATGATGAAGGGGAGCTGTTCGTTGATGCTGAAGATATTCTGGACTAATGTTAATTATTATTGTTTTATTTGTTTTCTGAACAATGGCATTTTAATGTTTTGTCAGGTATTTGATTAAGGAGGAGGACTTGATTATAATAAATAGATGACAAAGGGGGAGATTGTTAGAATCCGAGAGGATTCTAATTTTGGTTTCTTCACCACGTGTGTGAAAAACGTGTTTTAAAACTAGGGAATTTCCTTAGTTCTTTAAACTCTTATTTTGTCATTAATTTATTTAATTGCCTAATTGTTTTGTCGACAAGGAATTTTCTTGACAAAGACTTTCCTTGTTACACAACTCTTTTTCCTTACGTGAGATTAACAACTAACCTAATGGGCTCTAATCTTGTGTGGGGCTCCACTATTCAACTAAGGAAGTATAAAAAGAGGAGCATCAACGTCTTTGAAGATTGTCCCTTTTATTTGAGAGAAAAATTATTTTCTGCTCTTACGTTGCTGCTCCAGACCTTTTGATCTTAATTCGAGAAGAAAAATACAGAAAAAGGATTTGCTTCTTTCACCAAAAAGAAGATCGGTTCTTCGGGAGGAGAACTCAAAAGATCTCGGGAGGAGGTCGATCCGCCGACTGAGGGACTCAGCGTTGAAGGAATTTCAACCGTGCGGAACAAGGACATGCTGCAAAGTGAAGATTGATAATTCAGCGTAATATACATGAACAGCGTCGACAAAGTGGGAGTCTTTGCATTTCGATTAAGTCCTATTATTGTATTTGTAAAACTAAAGATTAGTAAATTTCATTTGCAGGTCCCCGTGGATGTAGGGTACAATTGTATCCGAACCACTTTAAAATTTGTGTTTTTTTATTACTGTGTCATTAACTGTTGCAACTCTGCGTAAAACAGTAACGGTATTTAAAACTGAATCTGGAATTCATCGGACACAAATATATAATTAATTTGCACGAAATAATTCTAACAGGTTCGGTAAATAACCGAATTACATAAATTTAATGTAAAAATATTTAAAAGGAGGGGGTGGTTGTAATAACCCAAACAAGAGGGTTTATTTGTAATTTGGCCATACCTCAGGGGGGTGGCCGTAATTTGCCTTTCTATTCAACTATTTGTGTGTTTATCTGTGTCTAGTTGTTTCCCAATTCTTGTGCTTATTGGTTTCATCTGTCCACATATTCTGATTTTTTGATTTTCTATTTTAGATTTTTGATTTTTTTTTTTTTGATTTTTGATATTTGATTTTTGATTTTTAATTGTTTTATTTATGTATACAAGGTAGGGTACATTACCTTCTCTGTCTTGATTTGATTATATGTATTGTTAGACCCTTTGATTTTATTTGAATTCAAACTTGGATATTTTACCTAGCTTTTATAGTAAGTGAATTAATAGGAGTTCTTTTGGATACGGCTGCATTTATTTGACTCTTCATATTTTGTCCGAATAGATCTATCTTATGATAATTAAATCGACTAGGTGTCACAAATTAGGGCACAAAACCAATAAAATGTAACACACATATACAAATACGTGACATAATGGAAGTTGGAATTTTGTTTTCTAAGATGCAATAAAGATTCGAAGTTAAGTAATTAGAACTTACGATCGTTAATCCTGTTTAGCAAACTAGTAATATAGTAAATACGGTTTCATTTTCAGGTTCTATGAAAATTTAAAGGGCCATTAATGCGAAACAAATGGAGATTGATTCCGATCTCAATATTTGAAGCGAACTTAACTCGATTTTAGAAGTTCGACTCGACTAAGAGCCGCTTTAGTTTCTATGATTTATTAGGTGGTGGAGGAATTTTGTACATCAATAATTCATAATTATTGTCTCCTCGAGTTTTGGTAAATCATTCAAAAAGAAATTGATTATGTCAAATTATATGTTAATGTGGTGTTACTTTTATCCGTTTTCGCACAACTTCGTGATAGATTAATTTCAACCTTAAATTTCAGGGTCTTAACTTCACAGAAGATTTATAATATAGTAAGTTATAATTGAACTCCGAGAGAAGAAAAATTGTGATAAAAGAAATAAAAATAAGACTAATTCGTGGATGGAAGTACTGGAAAAGCAAGAAATCGAACACCACTATAAGTTGTTAACTAGTTACAATAATCTGATGTTCGATTTGCTTTTACGACTCTTCGTTTTGTGTATAAACTATATCTCATATTTTTATTTTTTTTTCTGCTTATAGGACATTGGAAAATGGATACGAGATTCCTTTCAAGAACGTATCCACCCAAGGTGTGGCGCTTTATCGGTGGAGGGATGTATATATACTGTATCAGGTGATATATCGAACCCGAGAGTCGATATAAAAGGGTTAGCAACGTATTTTGAGGTAAACATGCTTACTTGGGTTTGAGTCGAGTGTTTATTTCATTATTTTTTTGACGAAAAAGTAGAATTAATAATATGATTAAATTTAGCTATTTAGCTTGATTCGATAAATATTGCAGTGTATTAAATTTTGTCATTTAGTGGGGAATTTGTGCAGATTTAGTAACTTCTCCGTGCAAATAATATTTGTGCATTTTATCAATTCGAATTTCTAAACGAATAATTAAATTACATAGTTTTTTTGTTATACATCAACTTACGAAACCAATTTATTGTTATACTTGCAGGGTAATTTTTCCATAGCGACCCTCTCAGGCCGTTTCGTAATAACTAACAACGGACCTGTACAGCTGGACTATTTGAAAGTCGGCTTTCAACCAGACGATGCGCTCATCTGCGGTACTGTGATCGGGCCTCTTATAGCCGGTTGTGCTGTTCAGGTTAGCTTTTCTCGTAATAGTTCTTTTCCTAATTAAGATAAAATCAAACGAATCGTCCTCCATTAGAATAACGAATTTTCACTATGTTCTTGTACAACATTTTATTTTATTTTTCATTTCATTTTGTCCAAATAATCCAAATATATAATCGTCAATTAGTGGGGGTTATTGTGCATATTTAGCAACAACTCTGTGCAATTAATATTTGTGCATTTTATGTAAGACCGAATTATCGTACAATAGTTGTTATTTATGTTCAAACTGTATTTTTATTTTATTTTTCTTGTTGTTTTTGCTATATTTGATCACTAATTATGTTACAGTATATTTTCTATAAATTGAGAAAATAGAAAAAAAAAAAAAAAAAAGGCATTATCCAACATTTGAATGTCTTTCCAAAAGATTTATTTTCATTCTTCTTTGAAATATATTTAATTCAATTGCAGGTACAACTGAATGAGAATTCGATGCGTTGATTTTTTTTTGCGTGTCGTAACCCAACTAACGTTCATTTTAATGCAGGTCACTCTGGGTTATGCCAGGTTGGAAAACGGAGAAACGAGCACAGCTCCTCTTCAGTCACCACAGTGCACCTCTGAGGGCTTTGCCGTAAACGAAAAGGCCCTTGTAATAATTTGAAATGTTATCGAGCGTTTTAGATTGGTTGGCTATCTACATTAGTAGATTGTGATAGCATTACATGATTTCGATTTCGGGACTTGTAACTTTGAATATTATTTTTTTGATAATATCGAAACCTTTTTCTTTCCACTTCATCACATAAGCTGCATAAGTGTAAATTTATGACAGTATTAGTGCATGTTTCTTCGAACCTTATTCTCTAATGTGATCTTTGGATTAAAGACACTAATGAATAAAATTGTGAAAATGGTAGGTTCATATAACAAATTATTATAGGCGATATTTTTCAATTTAAATAAAAATAAAAAAATTATTTTATAGTGCGCAAATTGTGCAGATTTAATCGATTTATAGTGTGGAAATTGTGCAGATTTAATCGAAAAACTCATGAAAAGTAGTTCATCATCTATATAATACTTTGAACCTACGGATCCAATTAGTAGTATAAGAGTTTCGTAGTAAAAACGATTATAACAGATTGTTTATAGCACGTTTACACTCGCAATTGGAGTAATTTGAAATCAACACAACCGTGAAAACTGCCCCATCATAATCGATGAGTTGTTAGCATTATTATTTAAAATAGGAAGAATTAGACTTTCGATCACTAATATTTTTGACCTCGTTGTCTCAAGGTAGAGAAAATACACATTAAAATACCAATTTTCAGAAACATTTGGTCCACTCAGTCCCACTGTAGCGAACGTGACCCCAAATATGTCTGAATAAGGGCCAACGTAGAGAATTACAATTTTGGTCCCTAATGTTTTGCCCAATTTCACTTTTAGTCCCTGTTATTCCAAGGTGGACAAAATACACCGGTTTTCGGCACTCACCACACCCGTGTAATGTCGAATTTCCAAAAAACATTCCATGTTAAGAACATTAGCAAAGACCCCCTATAAAATTTCCTAACTAGCCAAACACTAATTGGAACATAATAGAGTTCAACAATGAATGTAAACACAAGGTTGCTGAATACAATAATACATATAGAATGTAAATATTTTTATGCATTGAAATTTCAAAATAACGAAAAATATGAAAGTCAATATTGAAAAATACTTGGTAACATAAGTATTCGATATAACTAGACAAAAACCGTAGCGAAAACAAAATTGTTTAAAACATTTTTTTTTAATTAATTATGTTTGCAACAGCTTGGACATGGATATCTATGCTTAGAAGACAACAATCATTGACTATGAATCCTTTGTTAGGATCATTAATAGTTGCAAGCTCAATGCATGCAGGCCATCCCCAACTATTGATGGAAGCTGAAATCATGCTTGTAATGAATATTGATATTATTCAAAGACACGCATTCAATGATGGCGTCTTTTTTTACTACAAAAACCTCAGCACCAAACACAATGTTGTCGTTCACTAGATAACCATTTGATGGATCTGACAGAATTTTCTTAGAGATAAATTTTGAAATACCCCATTCAGACTTTGTTTCTAAGAAACATCTTGTTCTTCCTGTCAGTGAATTTTTTTGGTATCATTAAAAATACTCCTTAGCAATTTAAGATGTAGGATGAAAATGATAGAAAGAGAATAGTACCTGGTGAAGAAAGATAATTGCCGGAAATCTGATTATAGAGAAAGATGTTGAAGACAACATTGACCTCCCAGTTTGCAGGAAGAGAACTCGTGTCCGCCATAGCCAAGCTCACAGAAACATACTCACAATTTTTTCCATTAAAATAGATTATTAGTCTCCTGTACAAATTCAAACATCCTCTATTACTACAAAGAATAATTATATAATTCTTTCAAAGTACGAGTATCCTTATTATAATTATGTATATATATATAGAGAGAGAGAATAGGAAAATTTATCGATTTTACATTTGGTCCCCATGTTCACAAGAAACACATTTGGTTGCTTATGCTTCAATAATTCAACACTTTTAGTCATTACTATCAATTTCCCATTAAAACTAAGGAATCAAGCATGTGCCCAACACAACGAAATAACAATAAATTGACGGAAATGACTATAAGTGTTAAATTATTGGACGTGTGGACCAAATGTCACCAAATGTGTTTTTTAGACTAAATGTGAAATCGGTGAAAACTTGAGGGATGAAAACTGTAATTTTCCCGACAGAGAATCCAAGGAATATGCCTACCACTTATAGTCTTCAGCCACAAATTCCCTGGTTTCGTATTCGTCAATACTACACGTGCCAAGCAAGGAGAAAGATTCAATCTTAACCAGTAAATGAGCAGGTGATGCTTCTCTTGTTTCCATAGCGGTGATTTCTGAAAGCAAACATAGATTCGTATAAATTCAACAATATATATAAACAATAATAGCACTTTGCACCCTCAAAACACGATAAATCATTAAGGAAATAATTAAAATTTGGCTTAATCCCACTTTGCACACTTGAATTTGAGCATTTTGGCAATTTTCACCCTTGAAAAACAATAATAGCACTTTGCACCCTCAAAACACGATAAATCATTCACACTGCACCCTCAATTGAATAATAAAGTTTTTATTAGGTTTTTTTTTTCTGTGATGCAAAATAACAAATTAAATTGTTATTTCTTCAACCTTCCACATAATTTCGAGCGCACAAAGTGCGACAATATTAAAATTACACATGATTATTGAAAAAACAAAACTATATTTTCTTCCAAAATAAAATAAAATAAACGTTTATCTCTAAATTATTCGATTAATGGATCTTTAATTGTAAGTGGTGAAAATATTAGGTAAAAATATTAGGAAGAAAATATGATTTTCAGATAACTTGATAACAAAATAGCTTAAGGGATTTTTTTTTGGGATAAAAAAAATGTAATTTTTAGATATGTTGATGAGATTTATTTTTATTTTTGCACTTTATAGTTTCATAATGATTGATGATTAAAAAAAATGCATTTGACATTTGTCATCCTAAAAATACCACTAAAAACATTTTATTACATTTATTAGGTTTAAAAATTCATTTGGGATGCATTATGCATGATTTATTGTTTCTCGAGGGTACAAAGTGCTATTAATTTGTTTCGAGGGTGCAAAGTGCCAAAATAGTATATTTCAAGGGTGTGAAGTGGGATTAATCCTTAACCTTTTTTTTCTTTGAACTAACACCTTCGAAATAGGGGAAATTTTGTACACACCCTAAGAACTAATATTCATGCAAATAGATCCACACAAAAAAAAAAAAAAAAAAAAAAAAAAAAAAAAAAATTTTTTTCTAGATCATGTATGATAAAAATACACTCGTCTTGTTTAAAATACTTATAGAGCATAATCCGAAATGAATCTAAAAATTAGAAAAAATCAAAGGTTGTAGATTTTTATGTCGACTTTCCACCACAACTTAAATAAGAGCTATTGGGGGTTAATATGCATAATGATTTAGAATTGGGGTCAAGGTGCAATTGGTTAAATTATGCTTTTTGGAATGAAATTGGAGTAAATTAGATATTAAGGAGCATTTTAGTCTTTGGTAGGGTTGATGTCCTTTTTGGTACAAGTGATTTTGGAGTGGAGGGATTACCAAATAAGTAACATCCCATGGGTTGATTTGCGACTTGCCCTAAAATAATAGGTCGTAATCTAATGTTTGGTTATAACGGTTATGAACATATATTGTTCAAAGTGCCCCCGTAGGCCATAACATTAGATTTAGTATTAGGGTAAATAGCATAACCCCTGTATTTACAAACTTTTACCAGTTGATCTCAGCTAAATGGTCCGATAGAGAAATTGAGATATGTGATGCATTGAAGGACCACTGAAAGAAGGCCCAAAGTAGGAAAGCCCACTCCAAGCCCAAGAGACCTGCAAAAAAGGAGTATCACGAGGAGTTTTTTGGCGTTAGCACTCCGACGATCAAGTCAATTGGTTGTTTTCTCTATATAAGAATATATGTTTAAAAGTGGCAAGATAGGTATGATGATTTCCTAGTACCTCAATACTGTTATTTATACTTTCCCTTTAGGTTATCTCTTTTTGCAGTACAAATCTTTTTCCTTTCTCAATTTCTTTTCACCTGCTACGACCGCGATACGGCAATCCTGTGGGGCCCTGACGATTTTTTCTTTTCTTTTAAGTTGTAATCTCCGACCGCAAATATTCGTCCATCTCCAATCTTCCCGCCTACATTCGTTGGCCGGAGGGAAAACCTATTTCTTGGTCTCCAGAATTTTTGATATATACAATCACTGCTGATTCGTGTTTTTGGTCGCCTGCCTCCGCTTTCCCCCAAATGGTCACCACCGCCTCCCCAGAAGCAAATCGCCGCCACCATCACGGGCCCGCGGCCATCGAGACGGTTTGGCAGAAGGGGAGTGAGGTATGAGACAAGGTCTTGTTTTGGTTTTCCCCTTTTTTTTTGTTTTCTTCCCCCCAATCCTCTGTAAATTACGGAGGATTGAGATGTTATCACTATTAGCGCTAGCGGGCTCTATCGGGTACTAGCAATCTCTCTTGGTTATGCGGGGCGGAGACTTGCTCTCTTAAAGGAAGGTACCTTACGTGGGGGGCTTCTGACAACCACTTTATAGTGCAAATGTGTCCAGATAAATTACGAACGTATTTTATAAAGAATTCTTCCAAAATTTGAGCTAAATAAGTTATTTATACTTGGAAAAAATTATATACGAGATCGAAGAAAAGAGCAACCTTATTCTCTAAGGAAAATAATGAGTAAAATAGTGAAAATCATGAAGGTGAAAAGAGTGAGTAGGTGCTGGTTCATGGAGTACACTATTATTCATAAAATGATTCCGATTTCATAAAAAAGAATGTGCAGGCGAAGCCTCTGTTTCTGATGTGCATTCAATCATTTATAAGTTTGATGCAAATATTGTACTATCGTAATCACGCAATAAATATATATATCATGAAAATATAAAGTTGTGTTTGATACACACAACAAAATCGTCTAATCCAACTTTTTAATAGGTAGCTAATTAAGATACTCGCGCAACAGCTTTGACGTTGATTTCTATATTTAGAAGACAACAATCTTTGACAATGAATCATTTGTTAGGATCACTAATAGTTGCAAGATCAATGTATACAGGCCTTCCCCAACTACTGCTGGAAGCTGAAAACCAGTAACTAAAAACTGCGGAAAAAAAAAGAAAAAAAAAACCAAGGAAAAAGAATTAGTTTTTGGTTTCGCTTTCCGTTTTGAAACATCAAACATTTTAAATGAAATATTTAAGTACTTACAATATCGTCTAGTTTTTTTATCATCAAACTGGTTTTTCATGCATATGGTAAAACATGTCTGCACTCTTTCGGTACCAAGATAGTACAAATAGATGCTAACATGGCTGTCAGTTCCTTCTGCATTTCCTTTTTGGTAAAGAAGGATTTTCCTACGTTAACATATATTAAAATATTTAAACACAACAAAAAAAAAGAAGGTAATAGTTGTGACAAACAAAAAAGTTGTACCATTTTTGGCGTCCAGCATCAAATTCTTCAAACACCCATCTTAGGGGCAATTGGGAGAAACCCGAAATCTCCAAAGCATGATTGTAATAAGTATTGACATTCGTCAATAACACACGTTCAATGACTGCTTCTGTTTTGACCACAAAAACTTCAGCACCAAACACACAGCTGTCATCGATTATGTATCCATTTGATGGATCAGACAAAACCTTTCTAGACATAAATTTTGAAATTCTCCATTCGGACTTTGTTGCTTGGAAACAAAGCGTTCTTCTTGCAAATAATATTATAAAAATAGTGCTTAGAAATTAAAGTAAACAAATAATTTATGACTAAAAAGAGAAAAAAAAAGGTGAGTATTATATAATACCTGTTGAAGAAAGATAATTGCCCGAAATCTGATTAAAGAGAAAGACGCTGAAGAGAGCATTGACTTCCCTGTTTGTAGGCAGAGAAGTTGTGTCCGCCATAGCCAAGTTTACAGATATATAATCACTATCTTTTCCATTAAATTTGAATATTAGTCTCCTGTACAAATTCAAACATCCTCCATTACTTCTTTATTATTATTATTTTGGCTTATTTAGTGGCTTATTAAGGAGAGGGAGAGAGAATATACCACTTGTAATCGCCGGCGACAAATTCTTTTGTTTCGTATTTCTTAATTCCATACTTTTCTAACACGTTGAAAGATTCAATCTTGATCATGAAGTGAGCAGGTGGTGCCTCTCTTGTATTCAAGGTGGTCACTTCTAAAAACAGTAGATGCACATAAGTTCAGCACAAAAATGTACATACATACATACATACATACATACATACATACATACATACATACATACATACATACATACATACACAGACATACATACATACAGACATACATACATACATACATACATACATACATACATACATACATACATACATACATACATACATACATACATACAAACACATACATACATACATACATACATACATACAGTAGAATCTCGATAAATTAATAACCTCGATAAATTAATAACCTCGCTTAAATATTAACTTCTCCCAGTCCCGAATCGGTAAAAACGTACTAAGTTATTAGTTCGATGATTATTAGTTAGAATTTTGCCAGTTCCGACTGTATTGATTTACAGAGGCTTAACTGTATATACACGAGAAGTAAAAAATAATTTTTTTTTGTAAAGAGAATTGTCATACCATCCTTCGTTGCTGGCTTCACACACAAACAGTTTCCCATCGTCTTCTTCTGTTTTTTTTTTGCCCTACTTTAAGTTTGTAAAATCAGAGTACTCTTTATATATTATTATATACATGCATGAATGGGAATATTAATTATTAATCAGTACGTAACTACTTTGGCTTCCATGGGAATTCTAATGCATGAAGAGTTCTTGTCCAATGGGAATATTAATCCGTAGGTTTTCTTGAAATTTAAGTTTGGAACGGTGAATATTGGTATAAGTTAGTCACCAAGTGAATTTAATTTAGGGTTAAATACGCTTTGGACCCCCGAAGTATATACTCTATGTAACATTTACCCCTTAAAATTTCATTTGTAATATGTACCCCTTAATACAATTATTTTGTATTTTGATATTTAAAAAATAATAATAATAATCTTAATATATTTCCACTTTCATTGGATGTAATAATTTAAATAGGTTCATCAAAAATATCAATTGAAAAGTCAATGCAATATTTAATATTTTAAAGTTTTATATTTCATTGGTAGAATAAAAAACCCATTAGAGTCCAGACGAGGAAATTAACAACAACTGAAGAAACATCAAAATACTCAAAAATCGAAAGCTAATGACAATGATAATAATCATAATGCCAATGCTAGTAATACTAACTATAATGTTAATCGTAATAATACTAATGCTAATTATAATGCTAATTATAATGTTAATCCTAATAATAGTCATAATAATAATAATAATAATAATAATAATAATAATAATAATAATAATAATAATAATAATAATAATAATAATAATAATAATAATAATAATAATAATAATAATAATAATAATAATAATAATAATAATAATAATAATAATAATAATAATAATAATAATAATAATAATAATAATAATAATAATAATAATAATAATAATAATAATAATAATAATAATAATAATAATAATAATAATAATAATAATAATAATAATAATAATAATAATAATAATAATAATAATTATTCACCGGGATTACGAAAATTAAAATTCACCATATAGTCAACCAAAACTACTATAAAATTATCGAAAATCACAGTAAAATTTACCGTAAAAATCACTGTGAAATTAATGTAATCAACTATTGTATTGACATAATGCACAACAAACTTATCGAAATCCACTAAAAACATACATAATCCACTACGAATGAACGTAATCCACGACTAATACAGCTGAAATAATAACAAACAAAAAAAGAACGTAAATCCACTATTGAAAATGCAAATCCACTGTTATGTCTAGTGGCCCTGGGATCACCCAACTAGCCACCCCGTCGCCTCACTTCGCCTGCTCAAGAACCTGAATTGATGAAAATTAACATAATCTACTGCGATGTTAACGTAATCCATTACATAATGAATACACGACAAAATTAATGTAATTGAAACTTTTACAAATGCAATATGTTTCGAATGCAAGAATTTAAAATCCACGACAGTCTCATTAGGCCTATTTTGGTTGGAGGGATGGGAATAGATGGGATTCGAAATCCAACTGCACATGACACTGTAGAGATAGATGGTAAAAGCTAGGAACTCATATTTGGTAAGAGGGATTGAGTTCATGGGATTAAATCTTTCGTTATCAATCTTCTGATAGGTATGTTGGATTGGTTGATTATTGTGATCATTTACAATATTACCCCCACAAATTAGGATATTAATAATGCTTTTGCGTATCATTTGTTCTGCATGATTTCAAATTTTCATTTGAATTTTCGTTTTCTCTTTCGTCTTCTGTACACATAATTATGCAAGCTAATAAATATCATTTTTTCTTTTGGTGTGATGCCAAAGTTTGTGGAGCAGATGATGATTCCCGACTTGTTGGAAATGATTAATGCATTGCAATCTTTAGTTAGAAAGCATGAAGCAAAAAATGGATGGTGAAAATTGTTGATGTTTTAAGATCAATGTTTGTTGTCCTCAAAGTTTGTATTTACCAAGTCTGAATAAATAGTAAAAAAAAGGATTTGATTGGTAGCAATCAAGTACTTAAATAATTTATGAAAATGACCGAAAATAAATTAGAGTGCTCGGTGAATCTTCACACCATCAATTTTGTCGACATCAATGAAATTCTCACAAAACTTGCAAGGCTGTAACACCATTATTACAAGTCTATCGAACATTTATCAATAAAAAATATTCATACAATCATATCATGGTAGAACATCAAAGTGATACAAAATAACAATTCTCATGAATACAATTGAACCAAATTCACAAAACAAAGACAACTAACTACCTATCTCGTACTATTCGATCCTAAGAAAAATAAATAAATACAACAATATCTTAAAAGAAAAACTAGTGTGGAGTCTAAGTATTTCCTCTATTTCTTGTAGTTATCTTTACTATTCGTCACCTGTTCGCAAAGAAAAAAATAAAATAAATTACTTAAGTTAGTAAAAAATAACAACGATAGAATACAATAAATTTGTAGTCCCGTGGCTTACGGAACTCTAAAGCATAACAACTTGGTCTGATGGTCATGCTACCGATAACAAAATTACTGAATATATGCTCCTTTAAGCTTCCATTTTCTATATATTGAAATACTACGAACCTCAAAAGATAAAATAGTACTGCTAAAAGAATCTAAATCTATTTAAATTAGCATTTATTCAGGTACACCTTTAAAATATAGAAGTCATTCCATCATAAAATATTTATCAAACATGATGCAGATAGACAAAAAGAGGGATTCGAAGACAAAGATTGGAACACTCTAGAGATTAAAATACGAATATGGGAGAAATCATGAAAAGCAACTTCTTGATTACCATTTTCCAAAATTTGGGGGAGCCTGCAAAATAAAGTCAGTCCATCGTAAACTTCTTTCCATGATAGTCTTATCAAACCAAAATTCAGCTCAATATTAACTATTGAAACAAAGAAAAACTAATTCAATTTGCAAAAGGACATTAAAATTATAAAGTGCAAGATTTCATAACAAGAGTAACTCGCCGATGAAGTACAAATGAGATATTAATTAGTTACAGAGATATAAAGCTTCATATTAACAAGTTCAATTTGTTGCATTGTAACCTGACCAATGTGGATTCTCGTAAGGCTTGCATTTCTCATAAATAGTGATAGTTTTATGTTATTAATCCAAACAAGACAAAGATCTCAAGTCCACTATAAATTGTTTGTTGCGACCATAAATTCCACAAAGATCTTTTTCGATAACAAGCTTAACAAAAAGCAAATATCACCACCTGTCGAGCACAATCGAAATCAACTCAAATTTCACACAAATAGCCATCTACACATTTAAAGAATGAAAATTTTGCATTATAATTTATGTTTAAACGAATTCAAAAACCTATTTATATACAAAAAGTGCATGCCTGCAAGGAATTCAAAGACAACTCTATCACTTTTCTTTTGGATCCAATTAAAAAACTTAAAGTATCAATTCAAGGAAGTTTCTTGTTATTCTCAAAAGACATAAACCACCATCTTCTCTACATATGAAAACCTCAAACATAAACTAAATAAAGCAAGAAGAGAATTAGAAAATAAACAACATTCAAGACAAAATATAAATTAGTTCTCTTGAGTTTTCTAGTGTTTGTCTCCCCATACCTGTACACTTGAAGCATTCTTGAACATACTTATCTTTCAAGTACTCGTTTTACTAAAAACATTGAAGGGGAGGATCTCTGTCATAAATTGGCATATAAATGCCAGAAACATGCACAAAATTGATGGGTGAACAAGTAATAATATGGACGCATATCATAACATGTATTAACTAACCTGATAATGCAAACATATTTTAGGAAGAAGGTGTTCAAGCTTGTCGTCTAAACCGAGTCGTAAGCTATCCGATTGAGCAAGCCCCGTCCACCATCCGACAATTCGTATGCAACAACTCCTTTCAACATTTATAGAACACAAAAAAGTTGGAACGGAGTTAGAGTTTTTCCCAAAAAAAAAAGCAAAATAAAAAAGTTATGTAATCTATAAAATCGAAGGGACGCAAACCTTGTGCAACTCCAATGAAGAGCTTCAAGAAATATATAACAGACTTCTCCAATCAGCAGGGGAAAAAAGGGGAAACAAATACGATTTTTTTCTTATGTTAATCGAAGGAGAACAGAACAAACCGAAATGTGTAGGGGGATGAACGGCCAAGGCTGCTAGGGAAGATGAGGTTTGGGGGAAAAAATGTAACATATACCCGGTACAAGTGTAATAACGGAAGAATATTGAGGGCTTAAAGGTCAAAAATCATGTGGGTATGTAGGGGAACAGATGGGATTGTGGGATCTCACCTCCCACGGTCGGCTCTACGATCCATCAATTAGCGGATCGTAACCTGGGCCCAAAATCCATCCCGGGTCCGTTTAAATGAACTAAAGTTGAGATCCGTGTAGATTAGAAGATCCATCCGGCCCAATCCATTCAACCAAAATAGGCCTTAAAATCCACAACAAAAATATCGAAATTCACTAAAATAATTAACTTAATCTACTATCAAATTAACATAATCCCCCACCAATAATTGTTTTTTGAAAGAGAAAAACCATGCCACTTATATCAAAATCCACTAAAACTTTACCGCAGTTCACTAGAAATTGACGCAATTCACTACAAAATTAATGTAATCCACTATAAACACCATTGAAATAATTGAACCACTCAACTCTCAAGTGTCACCAAAGCAATCTACAAAGACTACAAAAATTAAAGTTATTAACTATTGAAAACTCAAAAAAATTAAAGTAATTCTCTACAAAATTAACCTAATCCATTATAAAAATAACTACAAAAACATCGAAAATATTTATGAAAAATTATCACCACCAAAACAACTGCCGACAAATATTGAATTCTTTAGCACGTAGTCTGACGAAGAGAAGAAGTTAAATTGTGGGCTACACCGTAAGGCCTATTTTGGTTGGAGGGATGGGAATAGATGGGATTATCAAATTTGATTCCATTTCTTTAAAACAAAAAAATTTCATCAATATTAAAACTAAATA